GCTGGATCTTCAAGTGGTTGCGGGAGCAAGACGTGACCAAGATCATAAGAGTGTCCGTTGGGGACCAGAAACATACATCCCATAGCGATGAGGCCATCGAGCGGTGCCTCGAGCACACCGAGGTCGAAGTCCTCGACTGGAACAAGCTCGACATCTGCGCCACTGTCTTTACTGATGCCGCCCCGAGAGTGCGGGATTTGACCGTACACTGCAGCGGGAACAACGCCGTGCTGAGAAGCTGGATGTCACCCGGAGGCTTGGTCGAGTTGGAGGATGTAAGCCCGCGTGCCCTACATTGCTTGCGTCTGATTCACCCTGTTGCCTTGCTCTCTTGGAGCCGTGACTGACTCTTCTTTCGTCTTCAGCTGAGGGTTCTGAGTCTGAAGATTGTTCTCGTAAGTGAGGAAGACGGCCGTCTTCTCTGTAACTCTTACCTACTCACGCACTGTGGTACCCATCTCGTCCGTTGTTTGTTATTCTAACGCCAGGACAAGGGTCTCGAGTCGCTGAACCGGACGAAGATACAAGCGAGAAATTTCAGGAAAAGCTTTATAGAGGAGAGGAAGAAATGGTGCAAGCTAAAAGGGCGGGATTATTCCAAGCACGAGGTAACAGTTCACTGGGAGATTGTAGGAAGTGATGGCAAGTCTGTGAGAGCGAAGTCAACGACAGAGGACGACAAGAAGGCGGTCGCAGAAAAGTTCGTTCTCATCACAGACTTGCATTTCGAATCATATGGAAGAAAGCTGGCTAACCAGGATCCCTCCAGACAAGAATGGATTTCATGCATGGAGAAGTTCGCAGCCTTTATCAGAGGTTACCGGGAAGACGTCGAAGACGCGATTCAAGATCCCAAACTACGACCCCCAAGGGTGAAACTGGCCTTGATCGACGACGGCGTCGACGGCTTAAATGCCGATCTCAGCTGCATTATAAAAGCTGGCCAGACGTTCAGCGAGAGAGACGACCATCACTATAACTCGTACTTCAAGTCGGCCAGGGGTCACGGCACCATCATGGCGATGCTCATCCGGAAGATTTGCCCCAACGTCAAACTCTACGTTGCCAAGTTGAACGAGGAGAAGACCGGGCGCAATAGCTTTAGCATCACTGCCGAGTCTGTAGTCAAGGTAAGCTGGGTTCTGTCTCTCCCGGATTCCCCGAAGCTCCGTCAAGACGGTTCTGGGCAGCAAGCGTCCTACTCTCAACACGAACAAGGCGACAACGCGTATACCTAACCAAACATAGGCTATTTGGTGGGCAATCGATCATGAAGTAAACATACTGTCAATGAGTTTCACCATCAACCAGCCCAGCGACCAAGCCACCATCCAGAGCCTCGTCGAGGCCATCAATAAGGCCGTCGAGAAAGGCATTCTCATTTTCTGCTCCGTCAGCGACCAGGGGCCACACGACTCGGGCGCCTTCCCGGCTCACTGCAACCGAAGCAACTCGTTCCTCATCGGCACGGCGACCGTGGCCGGGCGCGCGTGGAAGTGGAATGGCGCCAACGAGGTGGACTACATCCTGCCGGGCACCGACCTCGAGATCAAGATCGGCGACGACCTCTTCGACAGTCGCCTCAAGAACCTCTGCGAATCCGGCAGCTCGCTGGCCACGGCCCTGGCGTCGGGCCTGGCGGCTCTCATCCTGGACTGTGTGGTTTTGAAAGACGTCGATGAGTTCGAGCGGATGCAGGATCGCGCGCATCAGAAGATGAAGATGGCCTTCGACAGCATCAACATGCTGCGGTACAACAACCGAGACGACGACAAGTACCTCCGGGTTTGGGACACTTTTGGACAGGCGCTGAGTGACAGCAGGAAGAAAGACGACGAGAAACTGGGTTTGGTCGTGGACGGGTTGATGGCCAGAGTAAGGAAAGACGTCGGAGCTGAAGCAAAGCAGAACGGGAATCAGGGTTCCCAGTGAAATGAATGCGGTGCTGGAGAGAGAGGTCTCGGCCCAAGGGCTCGAGAGAAAACCAAAAGGCTCATGTGCCGAGAGGAAGGTTCACCCAACGGCAGGGACAAGTTGACGTTGACAACTAGTCAGAAACCGCCAGACGTCACTGATACGGGTTACACGTGTTCAAACATGAAGTCAAAACGCTTCAAAATAAATTGTACACACAAGCTGCCAACAGCAATATACAAGAAGTAAACGAACAAAAAACTGCAAACCAGCTTGCAGGAACCCACCCCAAAAGTCTCTCATCGAGACCAAGTCTCTCTCTCTCTCTCAGCCGCCCATCACAAAAATGTAGTGATGCACGGCCCCTCCTCCCTCACCCACCCACAAACAAAAACAAAAAGCACTCTACTGCCGAGCAGTCTCGGCATCCTTCTCAGCCGCAAGGACGGCGGCAGCACGGCGGGGGAACGAGCGCGGGCACTTGCCCTTGCCCTTGCCGTTTCCGCTGCCCTGACCGTTACCGGGCTGGACAGTCGGGGTCGGGGCGGGGGCACCAGTCGGGGACGGAACAGGAGCCGAGGGCGACGGGGCAGGGGCAGAAGGCGAAGGAGCGGGAGCCGACGACGGAGCAGGAGCGGACGACGGAGCAGGAGCGGACGACGGCGAGGGGGCCGGGTTGGTGGTGTCGACGGCCTCGCTCTGGCCGCCGGGCACGGTCTGGAGCTTGTCGCCGCCGGCGCCGTTGGCGGAGCCGCGGATGGTGCCGCCGGGGATGACGTCCGGGCCCGGGGCGGTGTCGTACGAGGTGGCGCGGCCCCAGACGCTGAAGTTGACGGCCGGGTCGTTGACCTGGTAGGCGCCGGGGAACTTGGTGGACTTGCCCGGGATGGTGGTGGCGCTGTTGCCCGTGACCTCGATCTGGGCGCACGACGTGTAGAACTCGGCCTGGCCGTCGTGGGCGCCGTGCAGGCCGATGTGCTCGGCCCGGAGGAGGTACTGGCCGTTGGGGATGGTGGCGGGGATCACGCCCCAGACGTTGTTCTCGTCCCAGCTGCACCAGGCGTTGGTCTTGAAGGACTCGGGCGAGCCCTGACGGCAGACTAGAGACTGGTGGATCTTGTACCAGTCGCTGCCCTTGTCGCTCTTGGCGTTGCTGACGGGGGAGATGTAGACCTGCGACGGGCCGGGGTGCTGGATGCCGTTGGCGCCAAAGGCCTGGCGGAGGCCGATCTTGTCGCCGGCCTTGACCGTGATGACCTGGGGGGCACCGGTCGCGCCCTTGTTGCACGAGAAGTCGGCATCGAGGGGGGAGATGGAGCCCCCAGGGGCGTTCTTGAACTTGATGGGCATGTATCCGTTGGTGTGCTTCCGGATGTAGGTGTTGTCTCCGCCGACCTGCTTGTCGTTGAGCAGGAGCTTGTCGAAGGTGTAGTGGGCGGTGGCGCTCGAGACGAGGCCGAAGATAGCCGCAACAGTGCTGGTGGTCTTCATGGTGAAAAGATGGGTGGTGGTGTTGGTGGTGTTGGTTGTTGCCAGTGAAAGTCTTGCTAGGTCAAGATTGGTTGTAAAAGATAGCGAACGGACGTCAAGTCGTTGCGGTAAACGAAGAGAACAGGATGCTTTTCCAAAAAGCGAAAGGAAGGGAAGAGTCGTTGCAGACACGAAAGAGAGACTGTGGCTGGTTGGAGAAAAAGGTTCGAAGCCTTCAACAACGGGATCCAACCGACATATTTATCGTTCAAGCTGAACGGGCCTTCAGCCCACAACCACGCCGCCTTCCACTCACGGCCCCTCAAAACCGTCATTCGACTCGTCCTGATGGAGTTGACTTCCGGCCCCTGACCTGTCGAGCAGGGGCACAACAGCCGCCGAGGCGAGGGTCCGGCTCCTCATGGCGGCTCTGGACCATGCTTGGCATGTAGTGCACGGCGACTTTGGAAGCCCCATGGTGCAAGGTAAAACATGTCCAATCTCGGCTGCCATACCGACGGAGTGGGTAGGCTTGGCGATGGGATCCGTTATGTCCGTCACCTTTGCGGCGCTTTTTGCGAATCGGAATAGCAAGCGAAGGTTTGTTTCAGGAAATCTTGGCACCCCTTGATGGCGTGCATATGGGGTCACTCGGGATGTTCTGGATCGTGACCAGGTGGAGATGGAGATGCATGCGAACAGTTAGCGTGTGGCAGGGACATCATGTTTAAACAAACAAAACGGAGAGACAATACCTATCCCGCTATTTTCTGGATAATCTGGCGGATGCTAATTTGTAACTTTCATCATGATACTAACACATAATTACCGACCTACTGTGGAGAGCATGGCACCATGCCTGTGGTAACTTCTCGAAGGACTGTTGTGCGAACGGTTGCTTCATGCGATGGCCCAGTGCAACCCTAATTGACCGTTTGGGTTTTCGGATCTGCAAATACGATGCTCTGTCATCCTTCCCCTGGCTTGAACTGTCAAACCTGGTAAACTTCTTCTCTCCCACTGGAACGCTTCTGACTTGGTAGCATTGCAGCCCCGCTGCGGTGATCATTGAACATTCGGTCAGATTCCCAAAACCAAGGGATGTCACCTCGTGGTGATTTATTCGAAACATGCCTCCTGGGAGGTTACCCGAAGGAGCTGAGCGTAACGCCGAGGTGGACCCCGAGCCCTGCACGGTCTGGCCCTGCTCCAGCCTTGAAGACCAACCTCGACGACCTGATATGGCAAGTGGAGGCGATGAATAACAGAATTCTCCACTGAACGACAACTGCCGGCTAACCTTCCTTGTAAGAAAGAGCTACCGAATACTGAGGCTGATAAGTCTGAAACGACCTCCCTCGTAACATTAGATTTCTTTCCCTTTCAGGAATTATTGTCGATTGTGTGTTGAATGCCACGGTATTTTGCGTCGCTCGCATGCCGCTGGGAGCTCCGGGGAGTGGGCTGGGAGTTTGTATCATGACACTAAATCTCCAACTCATAATTTACAAGCAAAAAAAGAACGCAGCATGTGTCTCAATTTCCTGGTTTTAATTGTTCCTCGTGCACATGGTGTGTAAATGAAGACTTGATTTTGCCAGAGGAGCAAAAGATAATGGACGTACCGCGGATCGAACGCGGGACCGTCTGTATTCAAGAATTTTTCTTGCAAAACAGAAATCATACCACTAGACCATACGCCCATACGAATGGTTACGCTCATTTGCAAAACCATGCCCTAAGAGGGAGCGGCGAAGGTTTCTGTAAAAGCAAAGAAATAAAGATTGTGATAACTTTAGCTAACGATGGCAGTGTTTAGCTAGGCACATTATTGCCTCCGCCGTTTGCGGGACCGTCGCACTTACAAGCTAGCCAGAGCCTCCTCAACGGCTTTTCTTCCTGACTGCTCGGTCACTCCCACTTTTCCCTTTCTCAGATCCACCCACCGGAGTCATCAACGACAAAGTTAATCAAATACCTAGGTAACTTGTCAACTAGAACAACGGCTGGGGTTGAAATCTCAGAGGTATATTGTATTCGTTTTACTGTAACACTGTGACCAAACTGAGTTTGTAAGCATATCGGCGTGGGACCTGCTTGATAGTTACATCAAGCCAACAAAATAATCCCAATACTGGCACAGCGCGGTGACATTCCAGCCACCCATCGCGGCGTTCAGCCCGTCAGTGTCCAGCACCCACGATAGATACTTGCTCTCCCAACCGCCGAGCCTTCCCCGCCGCGAGCATTCCGCCCGGGCCTTGCACAGCTCCCAGTACGCGGGGTACCATCCAGCCTGTTCCCAACCAAGGATTGAAACGATTCGTGGCTTTGGCCCGCTTGAGACGATGATGTTCCGTGGGTGCAAGCTGCCGTGGGTAAACATGACGGGGACGTCATCTGGGAATAGGTGGTGCGGTGTGTAGCGGAGCTGTCCATCCCCGGCGCCTGCGTGTCGGTTCCGGGACACGGTAACCGCCATCGCGACAAAGTAGTCGTGGAAGGCCGTCGTCGTCGGAAACGGGCCGGCCGGCGGAGCACCAGCCAACGCGCAGCGATGAAACACCTCATCCTGCAGCGGCCCATTATCGACGCTCCCTACACAATATTAGCATCCACACGCGCAGGCCACAGAGCTCAAGAACCAGAACATACCAACGAACCCGACACCCCCCAACCGCAACCGCCTCCACTCCCCCACCACATCCCTCAGCTGCGTACAAACCGCCTCCCTCTCCACCTCACTCATCCCCGCCCACCTGTCCTCCAACACCTCCCCCTCGGGCAAATCCATATACACAAACCGCTCCCGCCTCTCCGCATCCCTCCGCCACCCAAAAACCTCCGGCACCGGCACCGCCGCAGCAGGCACCCCCAAATCCAACAACGTCCGCCTTGCAAGGCTCATCGCCTTCCCCTCCGCGGCCGCCACCCCACCCACGAACCCAACCCCAACCCCCCGCCCTGCCCCGCGCCCGCACCGCCCTGGACCAACTCCCTCCCATACTTAACCAACAGCCCCAACTCCGGAAACGGCACCAGCCTCGCACCCTCCCCTTCGCCGTCCTCAGACTCGGAGACAAGCCCCAACCGGACGGCCTGCTCGCGCACGCGCGCTGGGCTGGGCAGCTCGGGGTAGGTGCCGGCGGGAGTGAAGCGGGCGAAGAAGGAGGAGTGGGCGAAGATGACGTTGTCGCCGGGGGGGAAGAGCGGGGTGATGGGGAGGAGCGGGGTGGGGGGTTGCGGGGTCTGGTGGGGTTGTGGTGGTGGTGACTGTGGTGGTGCTGCTGCTGCTGGTGTTGGGGCGGAGGTGGGGGTGGCTTGGTGGGGGTGATAGTGGTGGTGGAGGTTGTACTGGTAGTTGTCCGACTCCTCGTCGGCCTCCTCTGCTGTGGGGTCGGTAGGTAAGGGGGTTGCGGTTATGTTTAGGGTGAGGTTGGCGAGGGAATCGTAGAGGGTTTGGAATGAGTCGTGGTGGAGGGTGAGGTCGGTGTCGTGGGGGACGTCATGGTCGCGGTGGGGGTGCGCTGCGAGGGGATGGGTGCCGGTGTTGAAGGATAGCATCCTCATGTGTTCTGTCGATGGGCATAAAAACTGGAAAGAGATATGCGGCTTGGATATGAAATCTTAATCTTGAATCTGGGGCGAATGCTTTGAACACCGGGGATGATTTCAATTTAACAACGGCCCGTGTTTTGCGTGGTAACAACGAGGGAGGGGTTGGTGAGGTCATGTTGGGCAGTATTCGTTGGCGCTACAAATGCTGCCCAACCAGCAACGGCGGCCCTTCCTCTACTACCCACAAGTGAACAACACATACACGCATGCAGATAAGAAACACCCGCCAGTGGACTGGTCAGTCCCTTCAGCCAGCCTGAATTCTGGAGCTAATACTCGTAAGGAACTGTGTTTCGCGCCACCGGGCCAAATAAAACAGGCTGTGTAAGAAGATACTTACCGTAAATGGTGTATCGCCACGCAAGCGATTACGCATTATCCAGACTCTCCGAGATAGCGCAAGTTCCTCTGATCGTCGGCGCAGAATAGCATTGAGCCTCTCAACACCGTATGTATCGGCGGGGCTGTGTGTCGATGAGTGACGCGTTCAACCGTTGGGGTCTAGAAGGGCATGATCGACATGCTGACCCTCGCCGGAGTGCAATAATATCGGGGAGAGGAACTACCACGCGTGGCAATCAACCCAGTCGAGAACAATTATGTCTTCTTATATGCTATGCAAGACCATACTGAAACAACCAATTCATGGGATCTTGGTCCGACGAGTCGAGCAAGGCATCAGGTACCTGGAGTAACTAGTCAGTAACATATCTACACCCACCAAACCCCAGGATCGCTCACCATATAGTCCCAGCCCTCCATGCTAAATTCTGGCGACAAATCTAGACTCTCACCCGTTACCTCAGCGAGAGCAGAATTCACCGCCTCATGAGTCTCGCGGGTGCTAGCATCAATCTGCTCGAACAACGCAAGACAACGCTCCTCGGACTCCTCGGCTGCCTTGACCACATACGCTACAGTGTCTTCTTTACTCATGCCCCTCCTCATGGCATCCACCTGGGCATAGATCATGCAAGCAACCAAATACTTTTTGGTGTTGGTCTCGCCCGTCTCCATGCTCAGCCAAGCCCACACTTTGTAATCTTGCAACGCCAGCAGGAGGTCTGGCCTGAGCTCGACGGGGCCGAGGCCGAAGCTCTCCTCTTCCTTCAGGAGCGATTTCATTTCGAAGGCGATGGCTACGAAACCCTGCACGGCCACGACGCGGAAGAAGCCCGATCCGCTGATGGCGATGCGCTGCAGGGGGTCCCACTCCGTGTTGGCGTCGGCAGATAACGACAGAGGAACCGGAAAGACGGCGCGCCAAAGCCGCAGCGCGGACTCGACGACGACACGGCGGGAGAATGTGAATGCTGTTTCCTGGAGGGCGCAGGGAAAGAAGGGGAGGTGCAAGGCGAAAAAATAGCGGCGCAAGAGGAGGTCGACGACGCGGAGCTCGAGGTCGGACGGGCCTTTATCGGGTGTTTTGCAAGCCTGAAGGGTTCGCGTGATGGTTTTGTACCCTTCGCGGAGCTCGGCATCGAGCTTGAGTGTCTCCGTGTACGCCCCCGTAGAGGAGAGGTCGTTGAGGCATTTGACGATGGCCAGGCGCTGAGGGAACAGGCTGCGGAGAGCGATGGCCATGGTGGCTTGGGTGAACTGATCGGGTGGCTTAGGGACGGGCGCTTTATCTTCGTGGCCGGTGAGCTGGTCGTCGTCAAAATTCCCCGGCGGCTCCGTGTCAAACTCGTCTACGTTGATCAAGGGCGGCCCGCCTGAGTTGAGGCTTGACTGTAGCGCGAGCTCGAGGATCGTGTTCCACAACCGCCGGCGCATCTCAGCAACCAGCGGCGTGGTTATCCTGGGTCCTAACCCTTCTGGGTCGCGGTGCAAGCCCATATACATCGCTAGCCGGAGTGTGGTACCGACCGTAGCCCAGACCATGTCCTCGCCGACACCTGTAGCTTCGCGGGCGAGCAGGAGCAGTATACTGCTCTGCAAAGCGGGAAGGCCTAGTCGCGACTTGAATTCGGGTGCTGATAACCACGTCTGCCCTTCATATGCCCATTTCATGGCGCATGGGCGTAAGGAGAAGGTGGAGTCGAAGGTCGTGGCGCCGATAGCCATGACTAATTTAAGTTGGACAAGAAAAGCAGGGTCGGGGCTGTGGCTGGGGTCCCAAACGGCTTCATAGTCACGTCGGAAGCTGGGGATATGTAAGACTCGGAGGACAGTTTCGCTCATGTTGAGATAGCACTCGATGAGAGCATCGGCAACGGCCCTGACGGGCAAGTTAGTTGAGGGTGGACAGGGCCAGGGCGGTGCTCGGCGGGATTTGATGCGCCTGCCCAAAATCTTGCATCGTTTCTCGATTTCAAGCGCTCTTGATGCATTGTCGTCGCGCAGATAGTTCTCGATGATATCAAACATATCATTCAGCTACGAGGGGTCAGTATTCGGTCGATCGCCATGATCGGAAAGTTTTCCTACCAGGCCCACAGCATTGACCCAGTGGCTCTGCCCGAAGTACCGCGTCTTGTGAGTGACACTGCTTGTGACGGCCCGATGGCCGGGCAGGCGGTGTTCGCTGTGAAAATAGAAATTGCCGGCAAAGTTTATCGTCTTGGTCTCGACACGGGAGTTCTTGGTGAAGGTCGAGACCGGTGTGTCGGCTGAGCTCGTGCCTGCCGACATGGCCTGCTCCGGTACTGCCCGGCCGCTTGTGAGCCTGGGATCGGTGGCATGGCTGGCATAGCTGCTTCCAAAAGCCCGATCACAGATGGTGTATTTGGTAGATGACGTGACTGGGTCACTTCCTGTCGGCCGAGATGGCTCGGCGTTCAGCGGCTCAGTATGATTTGCTTCTGTAGACAAACCCCCAGTGCTCGGCGTTACGAGCGCCGCAGTTGACGCTGTTTCAAGTCTGCTTGCCTGTGCCGTTTCGACCAAGGGGCTTTGCGTCCGCGGAGGTCGCGGATCATCCCTATAGGCGCAGGTAGCATTTTTAGACTTGACGCAGTTGCTACACGGCGTTTGTCGGTCGCATCGGATTTTGCGTCTTCTGCAAAGGATGCAGGATCTGTTGGCTTTGTTAGCTCGAATTTCGGTTGGACAATTGCACCGAATAACGAAGGTGCGAACAGCC